AGGACTTGAACTGCAGTTGACTATATGGGAACTCAGTACCTTAACCACCATGCTGGTTCCATCACCGATTTTTCTGAGTGCCAGAATGCAGATGCAAATGCCAGGGAGAGAGAGAGAGAAATCACCTCCAATGGGACCTGGTCATGCTGCAGTCCTCCTCCAGTCTCCCTCCACATCATATCCTAGGCATACTTTGATGAATGTCAAGCACATTGCTCCCCTGCTGGGATTTGAACCATAGTCAGTCATGTGGGATATGGCTTTCTTTGCCCAGTGATTAACCATTGCACTATGGAGCCCCTCTTTACCTATTTTATTGCTGAGTCATCATAAAGAAGATTTATGTCATCATAAAATTTCATTCTTATATAATTAAGCATAAATCTCTAAAAGCAGACAATACTATATAATGTAATTAAATTTATAATTATTCTCTAATGATTCAGATTTAAATTTCCTTAGATATACTCAGAATGACTTTTATAGCTGTTTTGTTCAAGCCAGGAATCCAATAATCCAATGAAGTATCAAACATTATATATATATATATATGTGTGTGTGTGTGTATGTATATATGTATGTGTATGTATATACATGTGTATATATATATGTATGTGTATATATGTATAAACACACACACACATATTTTTTTAACTCTCTTTTAATCTAAAACATCAGCTCCCATCACTCAGGAATTTTTTATGTATGTTTCACACTGACTCATTAAGAAATAGTCTAGGGAGACCAGCAGTTAGCATAATGGCTATGTCGCTGGACCCCCATGTAGTCGACCGTGGTTCGAGTCCCAGAGCCGGTGGCTTAAACTCACACCGGGCACGCGTGTTTGTGCGTGACCAAGATCCCGAGAAGAGAATGGAGGAGAAGGGATTGCCGCGTGGCCATTCCCCCTGGGGAGTGATGTCTCGCTTTCTATCTCTCTGTCTCTCTCTGTCTGGCGAGCGTATGCACCCTATAGCAAAAACCTCTCCAAAAAAAAAAAAAAACTCTCAAAAAAAAATCTAATTTTAAATAATGTGAAAAAGAGGTGGATTCCACCTATCTTATAGGAAGATAAATTAATATAGAGGCAAATATAACATGATTTATTTTATTTTAGCCTCAATTTCCTTTCCCTCTTTGAGATTTATTATTTTGTCTTTCACCTATTTTTTTAAACAATTTATAGAACTCATTAGGGTAATGTAGACACACATATAAATCTAGAGATTTCCTTCACATGTAACATTAATAAAGGCATATTTCAAAGGATTTTTCTGAAATATGAATCCACAATTGGGGCACTGTAAAAATGATGGTGGTTAAATAGTCAGTTACTATAATTAGGCTTCAGAAATTCTAGGTCAGGGGACCAGAAGTTAGTGTAATGGCTATGTCACTGGACTCCCACGTAGTTGACCGCGGTTCAAGTCCTGGACCAGGTGGCTTAAACTCACACCTGGTGCATGTGCATGCGTGCCCAAGATCCCAAGAGGTGCATGGAGGAGAAGGGATTGTGGCGTGACCATCTCCCCTGGGGGGGGGGG